AGTAGATTGAAACCAGGACGAAGCAATTCTTGAAAACAGATTAAGATTATATGTTTTAACATCTTTTTCATATTTGATGTTTTATCATTTATACCCCCATTAACAAAATTTTAATCGTTTAGGACGCGGGATTCCGACCCTTACTATCAGAGCCAACCCGGGTTGAGAGGGACCCATCTTCTAGGAGAAAGACTGGGATACTTAATAAAAATTTTCTCACCACCAGGGAATCGAACTGGATCAGGTCTCCTGCCTGCAACAGCCAAGTGCCTGGCTACTACGTCACAGACGCCAGCATTAATTAAGACCTCACGCGTCTAATGGTAGAAGAAAGCACGTGAACGTCTAGAGTTTGATTTAGAATTGAGTGTTTAATTTCACCACTATCGTGGATGTCCTTCCCACTGATATAATACTTTCCGTATTGTTGGGCGCCCCCCCCCCCCTATTTTTTACCTCTCCTCCCTTTCTGCATGCTCCACTTCTAATCCTGGGTTATACCAAGTCAAAGTTTTGAATTTTTCCCCAGAGGTCAAATTTGTCGTGGGTTTTTAACTTTGTTTGGTTTTGTTTGGGTTTTTTAAACGAGTCTGTGCATCCTATGGGATATTTTATGTTTGTGGTCAGAATAACACATTGCTGTAACATTAGGTGGTGGAAAGAAAATATACACAGAATTAAAACTGCTGCCAATATTCAATACAATGAAAAGGGGCTATCGCGGTCTAGAGGTACGAAGTTCGCCTCTCTTTCAATAGGTCCAGGTTCGAAACCAGACAGCGACGGAAAATTTTCTTTTCTAAAAACGTTCTCCTTTCGCCTCCTGTCCTGCTCTGTAATCATGTTCTGTCGTCTGCTTTCGTCTTCACTTTCTGCCCTCTCCCACCCCCACCTTTTGCCCCCTCCTGTGACCCCCTAACGCTTTCTGCAGCCTTTCTGCTGTTTCTCCTTGGCACCTTCTTACTCAGGGGCGGCTCGTGGGTCTAAAAAGTGGGCGTGCACAATTAAGCTATCTTAGGTTGAAGATAGTCAAGGGCATAGTAAATGAGATGGTGTATAATTTTAGGATCTTTGGTTTGGTGAGGGAGAACCTTGTGATTCTATTTTCATTCTTTTTACTTGTGGCTTTGACTTCTAGAACTAAATCTGTTTGTTAGCTTAACGTCAATTTCATTCATCCTGCTTTAGAACTGAACACTCAAGTTATACCTTTCACCACTCCACTACAAAACCGTTCAAAAGCACAACTCTTAGGACGATGACTTAAGCGTGTCACGTTCACCTCCCTCAGGTTCACGGTCACAGAGTCACTTAAAATAGCGGCAAGACAATGAACCAATCACAATTCACTTGAGCACTCCGCTGGATTGCTCCGGGGCTGACATAATTTTGGCATAGAATAGTGCACAGTCTATTGCGTTAATTTTTAGATTGCCTACTGTGGGCTGTGTTTCGGCACAATTCGACAAGAGCACATTTGAGATGTGCCGTCTTATTAATATTAATGTACCGCCAAACTCGCTACGAGTGTCGTCATCGCTTGGGTTATCCCAAAGAGCGATTTATAGGTCGGGTTTCCACTGTTGAATATCCTGCCATGCATAGATACAGCGCATGAACTTTGGCATGGCATAGTAGATGTTTTACGGCGCTTATAGACACAAAAATGACAGTTCAGGCGCCAGTGAGAAACGTATTTTGATATAATATTTGGCTAGTGTTTGTTTCTGGCGTCTTTTATTTGGTTATTGTAGTTGTTTTACGTAATAGAACATTAAAATTGGGCGGCACTGCACGACCGTGCTCAATGGACGAGCCGGGCCTGTTCTTACTGCTGTCTTTTAGCCACACAGGTTATCTTAGGGTAGGTAAGATCTAACACATAGCCTTCTCGGATTAGGGCAAAAGATCTGGGAGGTCCCGTGTGCAAGCTGCGCACGTTAAAGATTCATTGGTGGTCCTAAAATCAATAAGGGTAAGCTTCGGCCACCACACGGACAAAATTCTAAACTAAAACCTAGCAAACTCAAAATGTAATAATGTGTCCCGAGTGCTCATATTACATTATGCAGTTGCGAGTGCAATAAAACACTTTAAGAGTTCAAACCATCTATAACTATGACGTTCGGGACAACATGGTGCCTATTTTGTTTTTATTTGTTTGTTTTTGTTTTGTTTTGTTTGTTTTTTGTTGGGGTTTTGGGGTTGTGTTTTTCCAAATTTACAGTGCAGCGAAGTTTAGGAGTTTTGTCATAGAAAACCATGGTCATCATTCTGTTCCACGGTTATCCTATCTATTTGTTCGTAAAATATTCTTTGTAATTAGCCTTTGGGAGAGTGTTTGTGTGTGAAACATACATTATAGTGAGAAGACAGAGAGAGAGAGAGAGAGAGAGAGAGAGAGAGAGAGAGAGAGAGAGAGAGAAAGAGAGAGAGAGAGTTGAAACTCAAGACAACAACTTGGCAATTTCACTCGTAGTCGTAGAATAAATCATGAACGACCACTATAACTTATGTTATGATTTCTTTTTCTTTGTGAAGTTTGTCTTGTTTCATCGAGAGCGCAAACCATTCTTTCTTTGCCAAGTCTCAAAATAATCAAGCTTGATGCCACAGACATGAATTCCTAAGGTTTGTTCGAGAGTCGACATTTTACAGATGAATCATAACTTAAGTCAACATCTTAATTGTTAAATGGTATCATCCATCACTTTCAGATCCACCCACTTTGTGCGTGTATGTACGTTGGTAATCTCCATGAATAAGTGTTAGTTCCGTGCGTGTATGTTCGTGAGTGTTGTGCGTGTACGTTTGTTAGTGTTTTGCAAGTATGCCTTGACCTTTATTCCTACTTTTTGGATCAAACACAACATCAGAAACAGATTCCAGAAAACCCTCGACAGCACTTCACACCTGAAATGTTCCACTCATGTGCTGTTCTTTCCGGTTCTGAATGCACTTTATCTAGGAAACGTTGCCAGCAATCTGACATCACAGCGCTTAACATAAAGTACAAAGAATTACATGTAATAATGCGGTGAAGAAGATGAAGAAAAAGAAGAAGAAGAAAAAGAAGAAGAAGAAGAAGAAGGAAGAAGAGGAGGAGGAGGAGGAGGAGGAGGAGGAGAACCAGAACAAGAATAAGGACAAGAGCATGAACAAGAAGAACAAGAAGATCGTAAAGTGCCCTTAACTTTCTGTTAAACGGGACTGTGCGCTATACAAATACTATTAATATATCATTTATATCATCACAACGATTTTAACAATAACAGCAATAAATTTCATTTGTAAAGCATTCACGCAATCTACTACTTCGTTCACAACATTTAACATTCCCAAATATTCAGCGTCAGCTGTCATTTTAAGAGTACTCAAAAACTACAATATCGGTACTGGCAGGTCCTTTCGCTTGTTTAGCTTAGAAAACATTTTCAAAATAGTCAAGTAAACCCAATTCTGCAATAAACACTTTATCCAAGGACACAACGGCGAACCCTGGACCCGGATTCAAACCTGCAACTCTGAGGTTATCAGCAAAGCTCCCGACTCTATGAACTACTTTTGTGCCCAAGACCAATGAAAAGGTTAAATAATATGTGGAAGGGAAATAAATGGGTTAATCTGTTAGTAGTTTTCAACCCAACTCCCTCCCCCACCCCACCCCCAAAAAACCCAAACCAAAATAAAAACAAAAATATTTGGCTTCTATAATGAAAAGGGACTCTAGATCAATTTATATATTATAACAACGAAACTGGCATGTGCGTGAAAGTCAGCAGAGAGAAATTAAAACATTCCGCTCGCCCTGAGATTGCACTGGGCAAAAACAGTAGAAGAAGAATCCTGGTTAATCTTTGAAAACAAAGCGTGGGCCAGGTCAGGTCAAGTTCAACGGTCTCGTAAAAAAACCTTAACGATGTAACTGCTCCAGGTACGAGCGAGCGATGGCGTTTCTGTTGAGTGTAGGTCTTGTTTATTTTACGGCAAATTGCCCGCATCTTGTTGCCAGACGTTTACGGAAGTAAGCCGTGATTTGATTATTTTTTAATGTATTCATCTTTTTAATTTTTTTAAGGGGCACCCCCTTAAAAAATTAAAAAGATAAATACATTTACAAATAATCGTTTATTTTTTTTTCTTTATTTCATGAAAATCAAAACATGAAAGAGTTTGGTTTTTTCTTCTTTTTCTTTTCTCAAAAACCCCAAAAAGTGTTGAAAATGCTCACACAACGGTACATACACAAAACCTTTGCAGTGGGTTCGAGCTGCCATGGGCTCGCGTCATCGACCATCTCTCCGGATCAATGGCCGGTACAAAGCACTGGCACAAAGCTACAGGTAAATCAATTGGGGCCGAGCTGACGAGCTAGGGACCTTGGAACATTGTGTTGTTCTATGTCGGCGGGGTGTATGGGTTTTTTCTTTTTTTTTTTGGGGGGGTAGATTGCAGTTTAGGATGTCCGTAGAGTTGCTTGACCATCGTAAACACAGTACAGATTTTTCTGTAAGCTTTAACAGTTTATTTATGACACAAATTTAACTCAGTAGTCTTGCTAACAGATTCTTGAATGAAATTCACATTTTCATACAAGTTCTAACGGTCAGATGTGTAATAGAATACGTTTCTTTATAAATATATCAGTGCAAGTTTGAGTGTGTAGGTGATTGTGACTCTGTGTGTGTGTATGTGTGTATGTGTGTTTGTGTGTGTCTATGTGAGTGTGTGAGCGTGTGTGTGTGGGGGGGTGTGTGTGTGTGTGTGTGTGTGTGTGTGTGTGTGTGTGTGTGTGTGTGTGTGTGTGTGTAAATGTAAGTGAGTGCGTGTGCAAGTGTAAGTGTGTATGATACTAGCAGTTAACAGCAACACAAAACATAGGAAGTACACCCATCAACCACCACGGTCTGTCACAAAGTTTTAATCTCGAATCAGCGTCTTTTAACCGATTATCTAAAACTGACTCTTTTCCTCGGGGCTGTGATATGTCGTAAACTAAC